TCTGTTGTCCATCCCCCAGGGAGGAGGTTATATGTAGATCCTTGTAATCGGTTCCCCCTTTCTACCCCACCTTCCCTCCACCCTCCAGGTATCTCAGATCCTAAATTTTGTTTAGATACTGCCTCCCTTTTAAGTTACTAATAAGAACACAATAAACAAAACAGATTATCCATTTTTCTAAGAATCTTTATGGCTTCCTTTTTAAAATGTACATATTTGGCCCAATTAAAATGTATCTTGTATGATGTGAGGTGTGGCTCAAACTTCTCTTTCCAGATGGCTGACAGGTTGTTTCATCACCCAATATTCTGTTTTCCTCTCACTGATAGAAGATGCTTCCGTTACTATCAACTATATTTCTGCATTTATTTGGTTACTCTTCTGGTATTTATCATCTTACTTATGCTGTCACTTCATGCCATGTTTAACCAGGGTCCTGTAGGAAAATTAAATCCTACAGAAAATGATGTGCGACTGTTTTCTCAATTATTACTGAGGTGATACTTTCCTAATTCTCCCAAATATAGTACATAGCTAGTACCACTCTATATGTGGAAGGCAGTTATTTCATTATATACATGTAGGATGAGACACAGTCACTGAAAGATAGGATATGTCCTAATCCCTGCATCTATAAGTGTTACCGTATGAGAAAGGGTTTTTCTAAATATGATTAAATTAAGGATTTATATGTATGTATTTATATATAAAACAAAGACATACAGAGAGAGAGATAAAGAAAATTCTGCTTGATGTGATTGAATTATGGAGTAATATATGTATTAATTCCTAGTTAATAATACATTTAAAAACAAACAGAAAATTCGGGATTTTTAAACAGAAGATTGACCTGAATTATACACGTGGTTTCTAAGTGCAATCACAGGTGGGAAACAAAGGAAAAACAGAAGAAGGAATCAGAGGGAGAAAACCAACAGGAAGAAGAGAATTAGCCACAAAGAAGAGAAGACAAAGTGGCCAAAGGCGCAGAGACTGGAATGAAGTGGTCATCCGCGCGGGGTGCAGCAGCTGTCAGAGGATGGAAGAAGCAAGACTTCAGAGGCAATAAGTCTTGCCAACACCTTGATTTAGACACACGTGATTCTTATTATCGAGGAATGGCATCTAAATTGAGACCAAAATGGTTTCCTTTTTGTTTTGCTTCTTCAAGACTAAGATATTATGGAGAGAACTTGTCTGCAGCCATCCACAGACCACAAAGACATGTTGAAATGTTTTGTTTGAAATAAACCTCTTTTGACTTACCCTCATATTAGAGAATAGAATTTTGTTTTCTCGTGTAGTTGGAGATCTATTAGTATGTGAGTTAAACCCAGTAATATTTATTTGTCTGGCAAATAGATTTGGTACTCATTAAGTACTACTTTAATTTGCTTTCTTCATATTCCAAAGATAGTTTATCACTAATTCTGTTATCTCGTTTCATATAGTTTCTCTGTAATATTGT